CCGGGACTGTAACTTAGGGGGTAACGGCAGCCCCTGCTGCTCCTGCAGGGTCTGACACAACAATGATCATGCACACAACCCCTCTAACCAACCCTGGGATGGTGGGAGAAGTGGAAGGAATGAGCTGGGCTGCAAAATGTAGCTCAGTCTGTGCATCTGCCTGCCCTTTCAGAGCATGCTGCTGGGAGAGTTGTTGGGCAGGGGAAGAGGAGGTTTCCATCACACGGGCTCCACAGGGGCAGGGGACATGGGGGAAGATGGCAGAAGTAGTCTCCATAGGAGAAGCTGCAGGTGCCACTGAAGCAGCTGGGGTAGGCGCAGGGTGCCAGTTGGGGTTGGAAAGCATTTACCTCTTCACACAGGGAGAGCTTGCCACACACTTCCATTGCTCTCACAACATAGTAGTATGTCTCAGCACATCCTTTGGGTATTACTGGTTTACAGGGTGTATATCTACCCTGCCTTCTTCCTTCCCCACAGCCGTGGGTTTCTGGCTGGCTACATTTTTGTGACTTAAATACAGGTGCACATCCATAATGGGCACATGTACATAGTCATATATGTGCCTAGCCAGTTCAAAGCCTAGTGCTCATACTCAGTCTGCCTGTGCACACTCACCTATCTACATGGCATGGGTCATAGTATCACTACTGGTGTACAAGTTCTACAAATGCCACTTACATTGTTAGAAAGCTGCCATGTCGACTAGCAGAATTCAACCCTGTGTCTTCTTAATTGATAATTTCTTGGCACCCACCTGAAGCTCCATTTCTGTCTACACTAAGGACTGTACAATTATAGAAGTTTGCAGTGATCTGAGTTTGCGTTCCACACCCCTCGAAGTTCCCTTAGAGGTAGGTCTCTTCTGGAAGGCACTTTGAAGGAGGTTGTGGGGGCAGGTGGCTGAGCTCCTCCTCCTGTTGTGCCTCTGCCTGGTAAGGAGGGGGATAAGGCAGGATCCCCACCCTCACCCCAGAATTGGCAGGGGTAGTGCAGTGTGGGATCATTTTGACATGGCAAATGATTCCAGTTATGCTACCTGCCAGCACTGCCAAAAGCAGATGAGCCAGGGCAAGGATGAGAAACACTTCACCACCACAGCAATGCTGCTTCATCTCAGGAGGCAGCACCCCCTTGCCCTTGTTCCTTCTCAGCCTGGCACCAGTGGGAGCATACCCAAAAAGAAGTCCCCCTCTCTCTCCTAAGCCCCCATCCCCAAGAAGCAGAGGCAGGCCACCCTGGACCAGTGGCGGAAAGGCACAGACAAAGGGGAGTGCATTCCCAACGCGAGCGAGATCACCTAGAGCATTGGGGAGATGCTTGCTCTGGATGGCCAGACCTTCTCCTTTGTTGAGCATCCAGGGTTCAGGTGGCTTATGGTGCTCGTGGCCCCATCCTACTGTTGAGCCCCAGCTCAAGTCTGGGATCGTGCCCGGTATGCAAAAGCCAATAAAGATACCAGGGCTGAAAGTATAAAGATTTATTGCTAGCAATACAAGGTGCAAGCGGAATAATTTCACGTAACAAGCACACAGAGTCTTAATTATGAGCATCTTTTATACAGGAGGATTGGACCTTTATAAGCATTCTTGTTTGCTAATTGGTTATAAGGGAGTGACGCAAGGAGTTCTTTACTGAGC